CGTGAGGTCAATGGCGTTCCCATAGACAGCCCAGAGACTCTTCAGGAACAGATGGCCAAGTCGCCCAGCACCGTGACAATGAAGATACTTCCCGCCTGGAAGGAACCGAAACCCAAATCACAGGTGCGTGCATTGGAATACATATATTTTTCATACACTACATATGCTCTATCTTGCGAAATGTTAACTGACATTTTAAACTGCGTCTCTGAGTAGAAAAAGAACACCAAGGTGGAGTAGCAATAGTAATTATCGAACAGCCTGATCCCAAGATGTTTCAGTCCGGGCAGGACAAGTTTCTTTCCAGTCGCCTTCAGGCAGTATGCGCCACTAAAATGACTACTTAAGTAAAGAATTTGAAGAAGATGTAATTTTCTGTCAAGTGAATGTTCTTCTACAGTCTCATCAAATATTACGAGAAAGGCAAGAAACTTCTTGTTGAGCGAAATAAGCCTACGATGCGTCCCCACAAGTCTTATAGCGGTATCGGAACGACCAATTTGAAGAAATGAGGTAAATTACGGTTTAAAAAGAAGTGGAAATCAGGGTTACTAAGTAAAGTAAAGTTTTCAATGTAGAGCATGTCTGTTCATGCACATAGCCAAGTGAATAAAGCAGCACAAGTAGAATTACGTTTAAAAATACTCCTGTTGTGAAATTTTGGATACACAGGCCTCCATATTACGCGCAGTGTAACGCACGGCTCTTAACAAAAAGTCCAAAGTTCAAGTATGTATGCCAAAATGGTTTCATGAGAACTGCCGGTTGCTTCTTCGCTTTATGCATTGTTTGAGATAGGTTTGACTAAGGCAACCAGATTTTCGCTCATTTGTGCCGATTGGGCCGTTTTGATCGGCAGAACTTAATAGCGTATGAAATTCCTTTGATATCAACGAATGCTAGATTTAGCCAAAGTCGGCCCACCTTTTTTTCTTCAATACACTGATCTGAACTGAACTCTTTTCTAGTAACCAGCATTTTGCGCCTCACGCCAATTCAACCGGAAATGTGTGTCAACCCATTTCCTCAGCTTTCGATCTTCGCATTTCATAAGTTAGGCTATGTTATGTAAATATATCCTATAAAAAGTTTAATTGAACTGCGCACATATGTACGAGACTGAGTAAGCTGAGGTCAACTGTCGGGTCCACCGGCGCGTCGAAGAACAGGGGGCGTTGACGCAGCTGATATCGGTTAGCCAGAAGCAGCTGCGACGTCAAGCCTCGGAGTATGGTGACGCCAGTGAATGAAAGCATTGTAACAGTTGTTTGTGACGACGCATAACTTTGTTGCCTTGGGCAGCGAAGGGGGGATAGGCATTGTGGCTGTCCGCCACAAACACATTCCTTCAGATTTCGATCTTCGCATTTCATAAGTTAGGCTATGTTATGTAAATTTATTCTATAAAAAATATAAATGAACTCTTAAGGAAGTTGAAAATAAATGGAGAATACATACTACTAAATTAGCCATTATTTGCCGAGTGCATTTTTTTGCAGACGGCCGGAAAGGAGGCTTTTGAAAGCCGACATCCTGGCCTGATTGCAGAAACCTGACATTCTTTCTTACGAGACTGAATAGTATAACTCTACTTAGGTAATCTTTCCTTATCAGAAACGCCTTTCGACGTTTCAGTTAATATTTCATGAGGTAGCACATAGGCTGTACGAAGACTTTCATTTTTACGTAAGAAACGATGTTAATATTATTGTTCTTATCCCCTCTCTCTATCAGCAGCTCTTCCGTCTTTACTGTTTTAGCTTTTCGTTCGCGCTTTATGTTCCTACAGTCCCGAATCGGATACCCTGCTTCCCTGTAGGGAGGCGGGACTGGCCTTTCAGTATTATGACATTTTAGAGATTCTCAGCCAGGATGATCCCAATTGGTGGCAGGTGCGTTTAAATCGTTTATCCATATACATATAGGGTTTTCCCCGCCTTATCCTGTGACGTTGTAACGCCACCTGTCCACGCCTTTGTCTCCTCTAGGCTCGTCACTACAACTCCGACAGACACGCGGGTCTGATTCCTTCGTCGGTTCTTCAGGAACGTCGCAAAGCGCTTATTCAGGGCCTGCCTAACGAAAACGCCTTCAACTACGGGCTCTTCAAGGGCCTTGTGCTAAAGCAGAAGAAGAAGCGGGTAATTGAGAGGACTACAGGGAGCCATGTCACCGAAACTCCCTAAATTATACTGTCGTTTCATTGTCATCTATGACTATGAATGCCATTCACTGACCTCTGCTCGGATAAAAGTGTGTTTTGAAGTATTGGCATTCCAAGAGATATAATTATTAGCAAGCAGAATTATTTGGGAAGAGAATAACGTTCATTATGTAAAATTTCGAGTCCAGTGCACCAGGTCGTCGTCAGACAAATGAGATACGTATGAAAACAGTTAACTTAAAACGATGTCTAACGCGACATTTTATGATTAACCCTAGTGTAAGCCAATAAGCGTCACCTGTATTTAATTATCCGGTCTATAATGGCGGTTAACGCTTCCATCTGACCTTGGAAAATTCGTAATGGGCATCTCAATCAACATGCCTGTTAATGCATGCCTCGTCTGAGTGCATTGCCTCTAAGAATTAACGGTCCTTCCTAGTTGGACAGGCGCCCACCATTTGGATTTTTTCGCATACAAATTTGTGTCCTTGGTTGTAAGCTGTAAATTCTTTCAAACTACAGAACGTGCCCTGTCACATACAAAATGCTAAAATTTACGCAAGACTGCTCATCACTCACAAACCCGCACCTATGAAATTATCCTAGCTGGAAACTACTAATGAACGATTTTAAGCGAAGTGAAAACATAAAACAAATATTAAAAGAAGTTTGACGCCGTTTACAAACACGAACGTTTTTAGAAGAGTTGAAAATCTCTAAACCGTCAAAGATATTTGTAACTGAATAAGCTCTTAGATGGCGAGAACGTTTTTCCACACACAAAAAACCGAGGAAGTAAATCAGGACAAGTAGACTGGCGTTTGGGCGTAGTGATGTTTGCACTTAAATATGATTTAGGAATGTTTATTCTGACACCCCAAAAACGAGTTATAGTTTGGGGTTATATCCCCAACAGGATTTCACGAGAATTGGCTCTGTTTTTTCTTTATGCTTACATATATATAGAAATATATATTATATATAGTAGTATAGTATACATATATTAGTATAGTATATATTAGTGGTATATATAGTAGTATTAACGACTCTGTACTGCCGATCAACAACCGTCAAGACAGCGAACTCGTGGCTCAATGGTTAGGATGTTTGCCTCTGACTAGCGAGACGCGAGTTCGAAACTCGAGTGTGGCAGCAATTGCAGCGGCTTCTCCTAGCTGACCACGGCCAATTAAGCCAGAAATAACCATCATAGGGTGCCTGTCTTTGCCGGAATACTACTATGACTATATATGTATATATTATGCATCTATATGTTTTCTGCTTTGGAATCGTTTTGCACCGCAACGGTTTATTTCCGCCCTTTTTTTTCTGCACACCTGCAGTTTGTGAAAATATCTGTTCATAGCGGGAGGGAGGAATTGTCTTAACCTTTTCCACCTTTCAAGAGATGTTTCGAGCCTATCCCTAGTAAAACCTCACTTACGACACGATGGTCACTTATAATTGATTTGTCTCCCAATAAGCGTAACAAGGGGTTATTCAAAACAGTTTCATTGTTCGAGAAGAGCTGAGAATTAGCATAACTTCTGGCAGTCCCTAAATTTATCCCCACATCAACTTCTCTTGACTGAATAGTCAATTTTTTTAAAAAAAGGTCCCCCGTCAATTCTGTCCAGTGTTTCTAGGGTAAACAGCAGCCGCAACAACCCCTATCTTTCGGCCGGCGCCACGCAGGAAAAATTAACAGAACAATCTTGACGAATAATCTGAATATTTTTGCCAATCCTTTTATTGGGCAGCGAGCTTTCCAAACGGCTCTAGCGCCGGCCTATTTCCACATACAGTATGTGACCAATCACATACCTAGGGCTGAAATTTATAAAACATCGTTAATCCCTCCTAAACCGGCCCTAATAAATGCATTAATAGGAGGTTTGGGAAGCTTTTACTAATCCGGTTAGCCCAATGGTGAAAAAATTCGGCGGCTTCGGTGTGATTCGTACCCATGACAGCAAGGGAAAGGCTTTAGTACAACCAACGCTCTAATGCCCTAAGCTATTAGACAGACCAAGAAATGTACCGAAGTTCTGAAATAGTAACGGAAAACTTTAAGCAAATTGAAAGAATAAAAGAAACCTACGAAGTAAGTTTACGTTGTTAAGAAGTACCAACTCTTTTTAGGAAAGTGGAAACTTATCAGAACGTCCAAATTTGCTGTATCTGAGTAAACTTAAATTCTAAATGTACAGAAGGCCTGTCCATACTAAAAAGCAATGAAATAAATCAGCGCCACTAGAATAAATTTTAAAAATAGTCCCTCAGAGAAGTATGTACTTACATGTCCTCCGAGAATAAGTGCGATGTATATTATGCCTCCTGGCAAAAAACACACAATTTCAGTATGGATTCAAATAGGAGTTCACGAAAACTGACTTTGCTTTTTCAATAGAAGTGAATATGCGAGTTCTAGAAAGCAGTTCAAAAGAAGTAGAAGCGATCACTGGAACAAGAGTGTCATTTCCTGAGATTTTGGATCCTGTCGAGAATCCCTAATCATAGGTAATGGTAGGATAGTCTGAGTCATGCGCAGATAGGGGTCAAACATGCACAGATTGCACGGTATTCATAGTTCATGGCGGTCATCCGCGTGCGCACTATAATTATTCGCTTCTGTAGCCACCGCTTGGGGTCTTAATTGGTGCGTTGATAACTTGACACTTCGCGTTCGACTCATCCGTGTCGGATGCGGGCTCGGTACTTGTGAGAAAATTAGGCTAGCTGTCGTCAGAGTGTGTTTTATCAATTGCTTGAAATACAGTTGACTAGGACAAACGGGGTTTCGCTTGACTGCGTCGACAGAGACGTCACAGGAATAATTGTTTTTATAAGCTCATGTGCTGGAAGGCCGGTCAGTGACTCATCAATTTAAACACAATTATCAGGTGCCGTGCTTAAATCGCAATTTTGCGTACATTAAGGGACCTCTCATTTCGTAAAATTTCTTTATCAGTATTCATGGTGTTGAATTACGATGTATTTCAGATCGTCCTTGAAACTCTAGCTGCACACTTCACGATTTTCAGTATTTTATGGTGTTTAAATTGCGAATTTACGGCTTTAGATTACTCTCTTCTGAAAGAAAGACATGCGCAGTTGCGCAAGCCTAGTCTAGGCTAGATATTAGGATATAAGACCACTGGAATACAAGGTAACAGATTTACGTTTTTTACATTTTTAAATACTTTGACTAATCAACCTATTTATAAACTTATTCCGCTTAACTAAAGAGCATTTTACGGAATGGTCTAGGTGAATAAATAAAATATCCAACATTCTAGTTACCGACAACCAATCGTCTCGATTTCAGTTATCGATTTTCATGAGGCAAGTCGCGTACTGTTCATAGTATTATTAAATAGCTGCCTTCTGAGATACTAAATGAAGAAAGGAGGCTCGTCGGAAAATCTAGTTTTACTTGAAAGCTGAAAATCCTTTCAACATATGTCGGCAGGGGTACCGGCCAAAATTCCGGTGGGGCGCTCCGCTTATGAGTGGGGCCTCTGATTCTCCGTACATGACTCCAGTTATCATGCATGGCAGGGCTTTACTTAAAGTCGTCTTTGCACTCATTATACTTAAGTAGTTGTTAATTTTATATTTTACTTTTATAGACCAAGATAATATTCAAAGCCAGTGACGCCGGGGAGTTTGCATTCAAAGATGTCATGGTGTATGAAGAGGTGGCCTTGATTTCCGGCTTTCAACGGCCAGTCATATGCCTAATCGGAGCAACGGGCGTTGGCCGGCAAACGTTGCGTGATATGTTGATAGAATCAGACCCCGACCGATATGAAATTGCGATACCCTGTAAGTGTTATCTGACCTTGGAATAACTAAATTTCCGTTTGAAAAGCCAATTTTTACTGTAAGGCATTAGGTTTTTTCCAGCTATCTATGCCAGTTGGAAAACAAAAATTCAGTCTTTTTGGTCCGTTTTTGTGGAATTTTTCATCCAACCGAAAAAAAGCTCAAATAGACCTCACTCGCCTTCCTCAGTATGTTGTAGTCTCGTATTTTTAATTTTTCCCGCAATGTGTTTGTCACTGGAAAAATCTGACCTGCACCGGAGAGCAGCCCATTGTAAGTTTTTCTTAGGGCTGACCAAACAGTGGGGTGTTCAACAGAAAACGGTTCCATTTCTATGTCATCAAAGAGCACAGAATCTTCGGTTTTCAGGGAAAGCTCTTAGAGGGCAAGAGGCAACAAGAATAGCTTGTTTTGCGAGTCTATATCACACGCCAGCCCATTTTACATCGCCCACTAATTGAACATTACGCGAGGTACGGAAGCCCCGAAACACGGAAGGTGACCTGTAGGTCTATGAGTGAGCTTGCACTTGCCGGGAGGCTATGACGGTCACTGATAAATAAATGGAAATCCCGGTTTCATTTCCAAAAGGAAGGCGAGTAGATGCTTTTGGTAGAAGGATATTACCGAAAAAGACGAGGGGGACTTTAATGGTCATTTCTGGCTCAATAACCGTCACACATGACGCCAGGTTTTGAAAACCCAGAGGATAGAACCCGATGGAAGTCCAACGCTCTAATCATTGAGCCGAGGGCTTGTTTTCCTGCTTTATTTTATTCTAACTGAGGACCAGGAATCACCAACGTACCTTAAATGCGATAAACGCCTACAGGGCATTCTTTGTGATGAGCTTAACAAATATTTCAATACAAGCGAACATGTGAGTCCCAGGAAGTAATTCAGTAGTGGACAACTCGATCGCTGGGACAATACTTTTATTTGCCTGACGTTTCGAGATCCGTCGCGGATACGACATCAGAGACATAATCACAGAGCAGTAGCAGATATGGGTAGTGTGTGCACAGGAGTTTGTGGTAAAATTTAAACGTGTAGGAAAAAATCGATAACTGACAGGAGTGAGCGCTGATTGGACACGTCAGCTATGACCATCTGGCCCTGTGGTGTTCGCGTTGGATGATGCGGTGACCTGTCTGTTCCCCAAGCGGCGACTTGCTTTGGCCAAACTTAGTCTCAGCACCGTACATGGTTTGGGCAAATCGTTGCACTTGTTGGTGGATTTGGGTCCCGTGAACCATGACGCAAGTAGTTCTCGACTTAAGTAATTCTCGGTTGGCGAAAGGCAGGCCAACAGGCACGATACTTTTGCTGCAACTATGACGAACGCAAAGGGGGCAAAGGTTGCGCGAGCTAGTTAGCGGTCGGTGTCAAAGCTAAGCAATAGAAAACTGGCAGGGTAAAGTTCTTGCGTCAGGCATGGCTCTAGCACGAGACAGGCGATGGGGTTGAATAAACTAACACCAGCAGAAGTAGGTACTGCGTCACTCTGATGATGGATTTGAGTCAAATTCCGAAAAGCCAGCGCAAGTACATTTTTGTCAATGAATTCACCTTCTCTTTGGCCTCGTCTTTTGTGGTCGGTGATGAACGGCATACATGCATGGTAATGTATTGGTGTGTTTTTATTTTAGCTTATTTTTTTAAGTTTGACCATAAAGACAAGCAAGCACGTTCCAGTGTTCCGGTGGTCGCGTCTTCTTCTTCTTCGCTTCTGAATTGCTTCCTGGAACTGGCATATTTACTTCTATTGGCACACACGTTCCCGTTGGAGGCGTAGACCGTTTGAAAACTGGCCGAAGTTGTACTCATCCTATAAAACAATTCCGATTATCGGTTTCATCGTAGGAACCCTTACTAAGTCACCCACGTTTGATTATTACGGACAGAGACGAGAATGAAGGACCGCACTAGGTTCAGGGAGGACCGGTGTGGCTGGGATTCTTTGATCAGCAGGCAGAATTCGGGGGCTAGGCCCAGAGGCCGACTTCCTTAGTAGCTGAACTTAAACTATGCAAAGTCGGCTTTTCGCCCGCTCACCACAGTAATTGCTTAAGCAGCTGGCGAGCCTGTCTATTTTCAGCTCCCAGCTTCGAGCAAATATGCAGGCAACTATGTGTAGGATAGCGGTTCTCACTTTTGGTTCATCCTTACAGATACCTCAAGACCGAAATTCCCCGATGAGGAGGATGGCGACGAATTCTTTTTTGAAAGTGCCGCAAGAATGCAGAATACCTACAAGAAAAACGGCTTCATTGAGGTAAGCAGTACGTCCACTTCCCTGCGAGCAGTATAAACATTCCGCGCCCTGAAGTAAAATACTCTTTCATCTGAACCGACGACAGTCCCATAGTATGTGCCGATGCTCATGAAGTCTGACCGAGATAGTTAACACAAATCTGACTGTCTTGAAAAGCCAGTTATTTAAGTTTCGCTACTAGATGGGTGATCACGGTTGCTCAGATATCTTTGAACGCAACAGACCAGATGAGCAGACTGACAGAATGGCAGCCCTGCAACTTGCATCATAAGGGGTTCTGTGACTAACTAGGAAAGCCACAGCGCGCGCGAAGGTTTCCTACTCCACGGCCATAGGACCACGATCTTCCACTTCATTATCCTTGTAGCTAATGATAG